TCGGACGTTCATTTTATTTTGATCACTTTGCCTTCTGCATATTTTAGAGGTATTTTCAAATCGGCCCAGCTCAAGGAAATCTTAATATTTTTCCGAAATATTTTGTTGCACGTCTTCGAATATAATAAATTTTGTAATCCCGGCGGAAAAACCACAACCTTTTTTGGTGATGCAGTCTAATATACATACGTAAATACATAACCGCAAACGATTTAACTTAACAGAACTTCGCATCTTCCTGCAAAGGTGCAGCCCTGTTTACACTTAACCAGGCAAACAAAAATTTGATCATCAATGCCCATAATACCAAACGTAATTTGGTAGCTGGTGGCAACACTGCATTAGAACCGGCTTGCCGCATGGCCACAATGCAATGGGACGACGAGTTGGCTTCCTTGGCAGCTTTGAACGTCAAGCAGTGCCAAATGAAACACGATGCCTGTCACAATACGAATGCCTTCAAATATTCTGGTCAGAATCTGGCTTGGATAAGCTTTTATGGTACACCGAATGTTGCTAACTTGTTGCAAAAATCAATCGATTTGTGGTACAATGAAGTTAATGACGTCAAAATGGCTTACATAAATAAATATCCGAGTAATTATCAAGGCCCGTAAGTACGTATTTGGTCATTGGAAAATCAAAAATTTAAAATAGAGCTTTACTTCTAGGGTCATTGGTCATGTTACTGTCATGGTAGCGGATCGGAATATTCGAGTAGGATGCGCTGTCTCCACTTACGCTGTGTCGGGCAAGCCATATAAGGCATTCCTGTTTGCATGCAATTATGCAACAACAAATATGGTAAACTCCCCGATATATACAAGTTGTGCGACGGCGGCTTCGGGTTGCAAAAAGGGCAAAAATGCAGCCTTCCCAAACCTCTGTTCGAAAGACGAAGAATATACTGTGAATAAATGGGTTTGAAATATAAAAAGTACATACATATATGTCGATGGTTCTCTACAGTAATGACACAATTCAAAATTAAAAAAACCCCTTACTCTTAAGTGTATGTATGTACATAAGACTGCATCACCAAAAAGTTGAGGTTTTTCCGCCGGGATTAGAAAATTTATTATATTTTAAGACGTCCACTAAAATATTTCGGAAAAATATTGAGATTTACGTGAGCTGGACCGATTTAAAAATACCTAAAAAAATTGAGTTTTTTTATGAGTATCTAGTTTCTTAAAGCACTTTTTGAGAAAAGTCCTCTCAGATAACAAAACAGATTAAGCATCAAAAATCTGCATAAAAATATTTAAAAATCTTTTCAACGGAATCGCAATAATGTGATTTTTGATGCTGTTTTTTTATTGTTTTCAAAGATTGATTAACGAAAAACTTGAATAGCTGGCCAAAACTTTTCTGATTCAGACTTATGGGATCTCAGTAGAAAGGTATTTTACCACAATTTTTATTTCTGCAAAAAAAAGTCATTCTTGTCCCAATTTTTTTTTTCAAATACCAACACATCTACATTCAACTTTTAATGACGTTCGTTCATCCTACCTTTCTCTTTCATCCTTTGAAAGAGTTTATTAGCATAAAGGGTGAGAAAATACCTTTCCAATGATACCTCACAAGTGTAAATCGGAAGAGTTTAGGTTCAGTTACTCGAGTTTTTCTTATACCAATCTTTGAAAAAAGTTAAAAAAACAGCATCAAAAATCTCATTATTACGATTACGTTCAAAACTTTTTAAAATTTTTTAAAAATATTTTTATGCAAATATTTTAAGCTTAAACCGTCATTTGAGGGGATTTTTTCCAAAAAAAATATCTTTAAGAAACTATTTTTATTCATTAAAAACTCCATTTTTGGAGGTATTTTCAAATCGTTCCAGCTCACGTAAATCTTAATATTTTTCCGAAATATTTTGGTGGACGTCTAAAAATATAATAGATTTTATAATTCCAATGGAAGCGCAGTACCGGGGAGTGATGCAGTCTAATGTACATACATATGCATATATTTATATCAGTATTTAATTTATACCAGTATTTAATTTATAAACCTGCGTAATATTTACAATAATTCGTAACCTGATAATTGGTACAGGTCTTAGGTTCACTGTTACAATTCTGCTAAAAAATGTATCCAAAGCCAGTGCTGGAAAACAATCGGTGACACTATGGTTAGTATAGATGTTTTCAAATTTTCCCCAACTTCGATGTTTTTCCAGCTAATATCGATAGTTTTTCTCTGATATACCATGAAACATCGATAGTTTTCCAGCTCCAGTCAGCGGTCACATAAATGCTATTATGAACTTGCATATGTATGTACATCCAAATATGGAGGAAAGTTGTAGATTTCCAATATAATTTTTTTTGAAAATCTCACATTTAAAAATCAGAATCAGTCCTTTTCTCAAATCGCAAACGTTAGATCTCAAGTCTAAAATCTCATCTCAAATTAGCGTTGATAGCGTTCCTTCACTAATCTAATCAATTATCTAACAATTTATTTACTCAGTTAGTTCATTAGCAAAGAAAAAGGTGATGTAAAAAGTTAGTTGCCACAATGTGTTTTGCAATTAGTTATATATAATTTTTTGCCTAATAAAAATGACGATAAATTGACGTTTAACATTATATCTTATATAAAGATTTTTAAGTATAATTACTGTTTATGTTTTATTGAAAATATAGAAATTCCTAAAAAATATATATTTAGGGGAAAAAATTAGAATTTTTTCTCGGATTTTGGATTCTCTTTATTTAGGGACACGAATTTCGATACGATGCGATACCATGTCGATACTTTTGGCATTCGATACCGACATTTTATACTCGATAGTTTTAAAACGATATTTTATGGAATCGAGTACCAGAACCCAAGTATCGTATCGAATGTCATAAACTCAAATTACAAAAATTGTGATTATCAATTATTGCCGATATAAGCTGGACTTTAAGGAACAGAAATCTTTTACTGTCGTTAGGATTGCATGTGGCGGGATTTGAACACACTGTATCGGCGTTTAAGTCAACACTTCAATCTCTACGTGATGTAATAATAATAATAAATAGATCGCCGCTTGCACAATATGTTAGTGTTTGGCCGAGCTTCTCCTCCGCTTTGTTGCGTGCGCCTTGATGTTGTGCCACAAAGGGCGTCCCTAATGTTTTACGCCGATTCTGAACGGTGGTTGTATTTTTTATGAGAAGCTGTTTTTCATGGCAGAAATATGCTCGGAGGTTTCTAATCACTACACCACAGCGGCCTACATACGACACCAATATTCAATTTTGTTTTTTATTTTGGTATCGATATTTGGGATATCGAGCCTTTTTATTCCGATATTATTGGGTACCCGATATTTTTACAGCGATACTTTAAATGAGTACCATATCGATACTTTCGGTTCGATATCGTGTCCCTACCTTCATTCTTTAAATGACTAGGAATTTTTTGATGAAACTTAGTAATAATATTGACTTGCTGGTACCGGAACTATTTCTTGCACGTTTATTTGCCAAAAGTTCTTCACCGGCTCGGTGCTAGTGAGTCATTCGCAATTGTTTGCTGCGAATACCGCATTATATTAAAGCCAGCCTTTCGACATAAGCTACTATTCCATATGAACACAGATATGTACATAAATAGATTTTATTTTTAACATAAAAATATGCTTTCATTTTAAGCAGCCAAAAGTCGGTTACTATCGATGCACCAGACTATTTCTTTCTTGTTTTTAAATTTAAATGCCCGCTCAGTAGACCATACCGCCAGATCAGTCACGAAAACGTCACCCACAAAATGATGTCATAAAAAAAGTTGCACTCAAATCAAAAAATTAAATGCATTTCAACTCGAACGAAGAGCTATGAAGGCATCCAATCCGGGGCCATTTTGTGATTTCGGGATATTAAATTGGTAATCCCGGGATCCGGGAATATTTCGGAATGATTTACCATTAGTTTAAATATGCTAACAAACTAGTTTTGTAGTCTTGCTTTAGTGCGAATATTTACTAGATATAAAAATAAATTTGTGTGTTTTAAGCAAAGAAATATAAATATTTTTATGTTAAATGTATCAGTTTAAAAAGCTAATACCACGTTCTGACCGACATCGAAAACATGTTTTCGCCGCTGAAACTGGTATTTCGATCTAAAACTTGTGTGTTTCGTCCATGTAAAATCTGTCAAACGAAAACCAATTTTCACTGAAAACTGCTTGAAAACGTTCCACTCACTCTAATCGGTGTCTGCACTAGTTTCCTTCGATTACTAATCGAAGTGGAAGTCATATTTTATCATCTTTAATAAGCCATTTTGGATTTATTGTTAATTGGTTGGCCAAAGTAAAATAAGAATGAGAGTAAAAGGTTGTCAATGATAAAAAATGACGGAAAAGTATTTTGGTTTTATTTTTGTGCAGCAAAACTGTAATGAAAGGATGTGAGAAATATCAACGAAAACACTAAAAACCGGTGTGAACAGCCTTCAGCCCACAATCCCAAAACTCGTTTTCAAAGTGTTTTCGTTGTCGGTCAGAACATGGTATAAGCTAGAAAATTGGTACTACGTTTATACGCACGTATTATTTGCAAATAACAATTTGCCAATGTTATTGTGGCTTATTAACATCTTATTTTTAATATTTGTATTGAGATTTGTACCACGATTGTTTATTAGGAAAAATTGAAAAAGCAACAAAGTCTAAGCGGTAGAAGTTATAGAAGCTATTTCGGATATCACCACATCTCCTCATCAGATGACACATTTTTGACACTTGTGAGAGAGTAACTTACTTTTACGCTCTAATCGCCGAAACAGCCCGGAAAGCATGTGGAACCTGACAAACCGCATTAAAATCAAAGTGAAGAGACTCCATGGCCTACTCACTAAAAATCCTAACCCGATTTGTATTCGGTCGCAAAAATCAGCTACGTGAAAAAATGCGTGAGTACTAGGTACGTACGGCAAAACATAAAAGTACGTTTACATATAAATATATGTAATCTCAATCAATGCTCGTTAACTGTCAAATTGGTTGCGCTTGTTATTCTCACAACTCGAAGAAAAGTTAAGCTTCTCTGTGCCACCGTGGCCACTTAGAGACCCAGAACAACAATTATTTCATGGTCATCTTCTTCTTATTTGGGGCTGTAACCGCCTAAACGATTTTGGTCGAGTTCAACAAAACACGCCAGTCGTTTCTCTTCTGATCCTACTGACGCCAATTGGAAATGCCAAGTGAAGCCAAGTCCTTCTCTACCTGGTCTTTTCAACGCAGTGGGGCCTCCCTCTTCCTCTGCTATCACCAGGGGGTCCGAGTTGAATACTTTCAGAGCTGGAGCGTCGCTGTCGATTTGAACGGCATGGCCAAGCCAGCGGATCCGCTGTATTTTAATTCGCTGAACTATGTCTATGTCGTTGTAAAGCTCATACAGCTCATCGTTCCATCGTCTGCGGTACTCGTCGTCGCCAATGCGTAAGGGCCCGTAAATATTCCGCAAAATCTTTATCTCGAATACTCCAAGAGCCGTCTCTCAGTCCAAAGTAGCACTTGTTAGCAAGAGTGATTCTGCGTTGGATTTCCATGTTGACATTATTACCGGTGTTAATGCTGGTTCCCAAGTAAACGAAACTGTCTACTTTCTCGAAATTATAACTGTCACCAGTGACGTGGGTGCCAATGTGCGAATCTGCTGACTGTTTCTTTGATGACAGGAGATACTTCTTCTCTTCCTCGATTACCACCAGACCCATTTGCGTTGCTTCCTTATCCAACTTGGAAAAGGCAAAACAGACTTCGCGGTTATTGTTACCGATGACGTCAATGTCATCGGCATAAGCCAGAAATTTCACGCTATCGTAAATAGTAAATTCTTCCTTAGCGGTTCAGCTCTGCAGCTATTATTATTTTCTCCAACATCAGATTAAAGAAGTCACATGAAAGGGAGTCGCTCTGTCTGAAACCCCGTTTGGTAGTGAACGGCTTGGAGAGGTCTTTCCCAATTCCGACGGAGCTGGTGGTATTGCTCAACGTCATTTTACACAGCCGTATCAGTAAGCGGCTTTAAAGTCGACAAATAGGTGGTGAGTGTCGATCCTTTTCTCCCTGGTCTTTTCCAAGATTTGTCGTA